GAGTAAGGGGGGTTTAGGAGATTAGTTTTTATAGGTGATAAAAGATTGTAGGGTTTTGGGGGGGTGAGGGGGGGGGGGCAGACAAGACATTCGAAGACGGATATGGCAAAATGGTGGTTAATTCCATGGAGGGAGGGAGGAAGGGGGGCAGACAATACATACGGATAGAAAGGCAAGACAGATACATGAAAATGGTAGTTAGTGCAAGGGAGGTACAGAGGGGCGGCCGACAAGACACACAGACAGACAAGAGAGGTATGTGAAAATGGTTGTTAGGTAAAGGGAGGGAGGGGGACAGACAAGACATATGGATAGATAGGCAAGACAAACAGGTGAAATGGTAGCTAATTCCAGGGCGGGAGAGAGGGAGGCAGACAAAACCTACAGATAGACAAGACAAATAGGTGAATGGTTGGTTGAGGGGAGGGAGAGAGAGAGGGGGGGGGCTGGTGCGGTGGACTGTTGATACGGCCAGCCTGAGTGTGGCTTGACTTCGTCATGTACACGCAGATCATGAGAGAGGTGCTTTTGATCCGCGAGAGGGTCACTGGCTCTTTTCCCAGCTCGTATCATACTTGTGTGCATGATGGTGTGCCGGAGAGGACAACGCGCTGGATATTGACAAGGGGCCCCGTCGATGGTGCGCGGGTCAGTGTCGTCTCCCCCGACCCGATAGTTTTTTTTCGCCCGGACGCATTTCTGTCGTTTTCGTGGACGCTCATCCGATTCAGCACAACCATGTTGCTAGCTCCTTTCCTGTATTGTTGAGCCTATTTCTCCCTCTCTCTCTCATTCTCTCGGTACTGATATTCGTTGCTGCACTTGTCATTTTTCTGTGCATGTCCCTGTTGGTGTGGTTGTAACTCTTCTCTTGTCTCGATGGTCGTCTTCTTCTCTTGTCTCTTTGGTCGTCTTCTTCTCCTCCGCGCTGCTGCTTCTCTGCTGCTGCTTCTCTGCTGCTGCTTCTCTGCTGCTGCTGTTTTCAGATTCCGGTGCTACCGCGGCCACCTGCAGAGGCGGACGTGATGATATCGCGGCTGCCGAACATCTTGGGAGTAAAAACGGAGGCCTTCGACCCTGACACCTACGAGGAAGAGGCGGTACGTTCCGCTCCGCTCGGGGGGGCGGGGGTACTTGTAAAATCTCATGTTTGGTTTTTGAATATTTTTCTCTGATATTTCCATTTGTCTTTATTCCTTGCTGACTGCTGTGTTTCGACCTGTCATGTTTTGTTCCTCCATCTGAAACCTCCGATTTTTTGTACTTGAAAAATAAGTAGCCACAGACACACTACCCGTTCGAGACATAGCCACAGCAGTAGTCGAAGGGGATGTGTTGGAGTCTTGACAGCAGTGAGTAGAAGAAGAAATCGATTACTTACCTGGCTTATTTTTGGGTCTGTTTTCTAAGCCTACACACTGATTTTTTTCTTCTTGTCAGGAAGCGGATGAGTTCAAGTTCACGACCAACATCATCCGGTGGCGGCACAAGCGGGGCAACCTCGGCAGGCCGGAGCTGGGAGACGACGGCAGGGCCCTGAGGGAGAGCAACACCCGCCTCGTGAGATGGAGCGACGGCTCGACCCAACTGCTAGTCGGCGACGAAGCCTTCGACGTCGAGGAGCACTCTATCGACAGGCGAGCGTCTTGCACCATATTGTGTGGTGTCATTCTAAAGAGCGCGGGGGGGGGGGGTTGTAGGCGCATGCCGTGAGTAGTTGGACCATTGACCTCGCATCCCGGGACGGAGCGATATCGCCGGCCCAGGCTACGTACATTTCACATGGGAGGAGGGTTCGTAGACGGGGGGCGGCGGTGGTGACGTACGTGCTTGAGGCCGCGTTGGTTTTTTTCCTACTACGCTGGTACACGGTTCAATTAGGCATTTTTTTCACGCCCACCTTCAGAGTTTGCCGTCTAGACGGGGTTGCGTTTGTGTCGCAGGATTGTTTACGGTTAGGGTGGTGGTGGGCATGGGGAAACAGTTTGTTGACCTCTCGCCCTGCGGAATCGCGTCGTTCCCACCGCAGATGTTTGGAGCAACGAAAGTCTAGATTTACTGATGACCCCACCCCCTGTGCCTCCTACACTCCACAGACATACCAGTCTACACTTCCGCACCCCAGGTTCTCTTCCTCTTCCTTTTGTTTTTGTTGCTATCTCTCCCTGCAGGAGCGCGCTGTTCGTGCAGCAGATGACCGACTAGTGACCCCACCCGCTGTGCCTCCCACACCCCACAGACATACCAGTCTACACTTCCGCATCCCAGATTCTCTTCCTCATCGTTTTCTTTTTCTTTTACGAATTTGTTTTGGCCTCTCTGCCTCTGCAGGAGCGCGCTGTTCGTGCAGCAGATGACCGACTAGTGACCCCACCCGCTGTGCCTCCCACACCCCACCGACATACCAGTCTACACTTCCGCATCCCAGATTCTCTTCCTCATCGTTTTCTTTTTCTTTTACGAATTTGTTTTGGCCTCTCTGCCTCTGCAGGAGCGCGCTGTTCGTGCAGCAGATGACGGACGAGGGCAGCGTGCTGCAGTGCCAGGGCGAGCTGACCAAGAAGATCTCGTTCAAGCCGA